CTGCTACAGCCCAGCCGGCTCACAGGACACCCAGGGGACCACCCTGTCTAGTACCGGGGAGAAGCTCCAAGCCTTCAGCTCGCAGACATATCTCGATATCATTTTCTCTCCGGTCCAACCCTGTTTCCCTCTTCCTTCAGGCCCTCTCTCCATTGCGCTGCCATTTCTCACCATTTTCAGACTTTCCAGGCAGGATCGGGCCTCTTCTATGATGAATGTCTTTAATAATCTCTTTTCAATCTCAGGAGGAGGAGAGGGGTGGGAGCCAATTTAGAACTATCGCCCTGACGGGAGAGACAGTCAGCCCGTGGCTTCCGGAAGGTAATGGTGCTGAAATGGATTCTTGCTACAAGTGCAGAGGTGGAGATAATTGGTGATGCTTGCTTGCTTGCTTGCTTGCTCGGTGGTTGCACTGCACTTTCCCTCGCTGGCTAGTTGTGTGCCTGCCTGGCTGGGCTGAGCCTCTGCAGGGGCCACAGTTCCTGCGTCCCTTACTAAGCCTGCAGAGCAGACTAAATGCCACGTCTGATCAGCTCTGGGCATGAAGAAGTATGGCCTCGTGCCACTCAGCTGTTTCTATGGCAATGTGTTTTGACTCTGCTCGGCCTGCTCCTCTCATCAGATCATCTGTCTCACCTGTCCACACAGCCTCATGCTAAACGCCGGCTGGACAGGGGGTCAGTTTGATGCTTCTTAAAAGTCAGTTTTACTTGTGGTTAAATTACAGCAACAACCAAAAAAACAGCATTGAACATATATTAAAGATGGCAATGACATAGAGCAGGCCAATCCCTTCCACACAGAGCAGATTCATCTAAAATGCTGGAAGAAAAAGTAATTTTCTATTTCCACTCTCCATCATTTAATGTTTTTACCCTACAAACTGATCAAATGTGTCAGTGAATTAATAGCTTGTATGAGAGGACCAGAAAGCAATGTGCTATCAACAGAATCACTGCCTCTCTCTCTCCTGCTCGTCCTTCAAAGCAACACGCGAAGCAACGTTTGATTTCAGATTGTTGGAATCATTTCCGGGGAATCACTTAACCTGTTCCCATCTTTAGGTCTGCATATTGGATGTTCGTGTATGAAGCTTACTATCTGTGTCTTGCACCATAGCCGCGCCTGTCAATAGTGGCTAACAGGTGCACTTATACGAAAAGCCAAGATGAGGAAACAGCGTGTCGTCAGATGCGGCATCAGTAATCCATCTCATGCAGAGACACTTGTCAATGCCGCCGGACCTGCGGGGTCGCTTTCAGAGAACCACACTGTGCAATCAAATGAGATTGGACTAAATTGAATAAGGACCACCTCATTGTGGAGGTGTAGAGATGGGTTTCCTGGCAATTGTTGCAGAACACACAGTAAGGTGTGCAATAAAATCAGTCAGACAGCAATTACAATAGCACATAATGCATACCGCAAGGGTGATGAGCATCTGTTTCAAACTGGAAGCCTGTTAACACAGGCAGAACCAGTGTAATCATTGCAAAGCATCAACCAACCCCTCTGTGCTACACCATGGACGTCTTAATATATAGCTTTAACTCTTGTGGGTTCGGAGTAGCTGTACTCTGGATAATATGTCTACAAGGACGTGCTACTGGGGAGAGGGACCAGCTGACCTCAATACATGTCATTATCATACCACAGTTTTCTGTCAACAGAGCCTGTCATATCACTCTGTGTGTGTGTGTGTGTGTGTGTGCTCCACCAACTCAGTCACACAACAAATGGTCACTGTAGCATTGTGCTGCAGATTCACTGAGTTGTTATCACGAGTGTGTTGACAGACTTCATGGTTGAACCGATAAAGAAATAAGCGACCTTAATTTCTAATGTGCACTCAGTTGCCAGTTTATTAGGTACACCTAGCTAAGACTAATGCAGTCTAATACAACTGTCCTGAAGGGCTAAGGTCAGCTTGCCATTATGCTCAGAATGACCACGCTGATGTTTGGCTGGTACGTTCACCATGTTCACCATCTAAGTTAGCATGTTAGAAATGAAACATTTGCTGATTGGAACTAAGTGGAGGACCGACAGACCAATTTTGACATCCAGAAAGCCACACAGTCAATAGCATTTCTGACAACCTGAATCGACAAAGCTTCTGTACATCAATGTAAAAAGCTACAGTATATTAAATAGATATCAATTATCTAATTATGTTCAATAAATATTCCCAAGATATACTTTAAGCCGGCATCAAGGCACCCACCAAGGTGAGGTCGGCCCAAATAAATTACTTAAAAAAAGATCTACCTACATGTTTTTGGCCACCAACCAAGAAAACATTTTTAGAGCAAATTGCTTGTCAAGAAGACGAATGTCGGAGCAGAGTATGAGAGTACTGTTTCCACGCTTATTTTCCGGTAACTTTTCTTGTGGTGTCCTCACACACACACACACACACACGCACCCACCCACCCACACACACACACACACACACACACACACACACACACACACACACACAAAGATAGGGTGCCAATTATAGTAACTGTGTGATGAGGTTTCTCATAGTGAGGCCCATGCTACCTTTGCTTCTAATCCTTTGTTATTAATTATATCTTCAACAAGCCCACACAGTTCTTGTGGTGTCAGCACCGAGTATCCATGGCAACAGCTGGTTGGTCCCGGCTCTCAGGGATGAGCACACGCACACACACACACACACACACACACACACACACACACACTCTGCTGCCTGATAAAACCACAATGCCTCGCTGCAATGATGCTCGACTGACAAGATGAATAACTCAACTGTAGTGAAATATAATAAAAATAAAATAAATCCTGCGCCTCACAACCTTCTCCTCCTCACAGTCTCTAGGCAGGAAACAATATTCGCTGCCATTACCATAGTGACCGAATTAATAAAGATGCCTGTTGCTCAATCCAAACATTGCACCTCGTGAAAGAAAGAAAGAAAGATGATGAATAAAAAATATCTCGATCCTGTATATCCAGAATGCCGTGGTTGGTTTTAACTCTATACTTAAAATACAAATTTGAGGGATTTTATCATTTTATATTTCAAATCCACCACATATATTGTACTTTCGACACAACATCATATGTGACTTACTTTAAACGTATCAAAGAACTCCAAGACACGCATTTTGTGCGAGGTCACAAGCCATAGAGTTTGGGAACCACTTGTTTAATTTTTAACATGACTTAAAAGTATTTTATAAGCTCATTATAAGTCTTTCAATGTAAAATCTACTAAATGCCACATTGTAAAAAATTACAATATTCTTGTCTGGCATGTAGTGGTGTTGAAGTAGCACAACATCAATTGCCTTGAGTGATGTCAGTTGAGTCAAGACAAAAGCATATGGAGAGATGGAGTTCGAAAGAAGTGAGTTTACCAGGCTAAATTAGCTGTAAATGGGAAACAAACAAAGCCACACAATACTACTTCAGCCAATCAGCAACAGTTCGTGCACAACACGGGGGAAAGGCCGCGGATGTATAAATATAATGGCAAAGCAAGAATAAAGAAATAAAGAGAAACGCAGTGGGAGCAACAGGGGCGTTGAATCTATTATCATTTGTTTGGGTGTTGAGTTCAAATATCAATAATCTTTTTTCAGAATAGCTGACTCCAGTTTTAAGCAAAGGATCTGACAGTCAACTTACTTACTTAACTTGCTATAAATACCTTATGCAATTTGCTGTTTCTTCAGTCCAAGAAGGATAAATATCACATATTATTAATATATCTGGGACCACACTCAGGATAGTTCATTAACTTCCAATTAGGCCTAATGTTAGTACAGAGAGAGCAGAGTGATCTGCATTTTATTCTTGCTGTGCTTTGCAGTGATATGTTGGTACCTGGAAAAAAGTGGGCCGAGTGGGAGCTCAGTTATTTAAAAAAAGGGGTAAATATACCTCAAAGTATTGTACATTGTGCAAGTTATAACATTGTTTTTGTCTGTTTTTATTTTCTTGAAATATTGTAATGCTTTAATTTGATTTCACTCTTATGTGATCTGTTCTGTTTTACTCTAAAACAACGTTTACACACAAAGTGGGGTTTCTTTGGTTGTTGCTCCTCTTAAACAGGAGCTCTCTCTTGTGGCTTCATTGATCACGTACATGTGAGATGAGAGTCCACCTCCGTCAGCTGCGGTTAAACAGACACTGAGGAACATTGAGGTTTAATGACAAGAGAGAAGATGGACGAAGATGAGCTGTTGAAGTTTGACCTCAGCTGGTTTACTTACCACAAACGAGCAGTGTTTTAAAGCATCAAGGTGGACAATTACAGCTAAACAGCACCATCTACTGCTGAGATGTACAAAGAACACTGGTGGAAAAAGGCGACTCAGATTCTTTAAGTAAGTTAAAGTATCAAAACAACAATGTGAAAGTCCAACATTCAAAATTGAAATGTAGAGAAGTAGCCTATTAGCAGCAAAAATGTATTATGTATTAAAATAAAAGTACTTGTTCTGCAATGAATGCCTGTTGTCACTGATATATTATCATATCTTACATTATTAAATTGTTTGCTGATGCCTCAATATGCATGTAGCCTTTTATTGTTGTAGCTGGTTGAGTTGGAGCTCGTTTTAACTTTAACATTAATTACAGTTTGGTAATCTCGTCCAGCGATTTCCAAGTGGGAGACTCTTCTCTAATCTTTGCTGTTTTTGGGGAAATATTGGATAATTTTACCTTTTAGAGCCTTGAACATTTATGTAAATTTAAGTTTAGATGAGAAATATTATTTGGAGGAACTGCCAACAACTCAGACATCTAAAACATAACAAGGAGCCCCAACAAGACTCACATGAATGTAGTCAAGTTAAAAAGTAGAATATTTCCCTCTGACATGTAGTGGAGTAGAAGTATAAAGTATCATAAAATGGACAAAGTCAATTAAAGTAGAAGCACCTCAAAATTGTAGCTCAGTACTTGAGTAAATGTACTTAATTACTTTCCACCATTGACAAAAAACAGCCATTGAGGTTCCTCCACATTCCTTTATTCCTCTGCACTCAACACGCAAAGGCTGGATAGAAATCACAGTATAGAAAAGTGTAATTGTACAAACATCATGTTATCGTGGACACGATTACAATCAGTTCAAAAACACCACATGATCTGTCGACATTATCAGACACGATACAGACATTTACAAACAAGTGTAACTGTAGAACTCCACAATGATGTATAGTTGTGAAAACATTTTCACATTTTTGAAAATACATCAAATTCAATTTGCAAACATGTATAGTATATGTAGTCAGTTCCATATAAAAGCACTATAACGTGACAGAAAGGTGTAGTTATAGTGTGCTGCCTGGTAATGAGGTACAGTGCGCAAGCGTTAACAACTCAGAACATGAGTATAAACGTTTGAGGAGAAATATAAAGTCTTATTTGGTTTGTGTGCATCAACAACAAAGACAGTAACAAAAAAAAACAGCATCAGTGTTCCCTGTAAGCCAAAGACATTCTACCTGTATAAGTGCTCCTTTAAAAATAACAGCTGATACTAATATGCCCCAACACATGAGAAAAATTAATAACAGAACGTTAGACATTTTGAGTTGAAATTGGCTATTTTTACCTGGCTCATGATCTTTAAGTCCATCAAAGAGCAAACGCAGAAAGACTACTACAGCAGATACGTATATATGCTCCCACCCTGGTATTCATTAGGCCAAGGACCAACAGCTAAAACCAAGATACATAAAACAACATTTGTATAAAACTGTAAAGAAAATGACATAAGCGCAAATGTAAATGAGAACAAAAGCTCCCTCAAAAGGTGAACAGGTACACAGTAAGTGCAGTTAAAAGGCCTCGATAGGTAATCTCGAACCTGGTGTTTCTCCTCCACAACAATATTCAGTGAAATAGTTTGTGGCAGCTGGTGTAACTCTTGATTTGAAAATGCATTCCCCCACTCATCAATAAAAACTTATCCTAAAGATACTTTATAAAAAACCCAAAAATAGGAAACTTTGTAGACGGCATCAACAACTAATTACCTCAATCCTTTAAAATTGCTGGTATTCTTCTAACAGATCATTTTTCATAAATGCAAGATTGTATTTTGGAGCATAGTGGGTATTTAATATTTCAACCAGTTTCAGGTTATTACTTTTCCTTCGCAGGCTGCTCAATGAGTTTCCCCTTGTGGTACTTCTGTCCGATCCCGTAGGGGACGTGTGCCGATATGGTTCCCATTTCTCTGGCCCCCTCAATGTGGAACATCTGGTCGTCGAAGTAGATGTGCGGTTTGATTTTCTGCAGCAGGGGCCCTTTGGGAGCCCCGGCCAGGAAGAGAGCCTCGTCGATCTCCAGGCCCCAGCTGCGGAGCGTCTTCAGGACGCGGGCCCCGGAGCTGGCCGCGCTGCGGGCCGTCACCAGGTAGGTTCGGATGGGACAGTTCATGCGCTCGTTCTTGGCGTAAAACTTTCTCTGCAGCTTCCCCAGAGCCTCCAGGAAGCACTTTAAGGGACCCTGAAAGAGCCAAATAATCAAGTTAATTTAAAATGTTTGGAAATAAGGAACACGGGGACAGATAAACAAAAGAGGAGAGAAACTAAATGCACACACAGGAGGGCAAAATGGATTTTAAAACTCATTTATAGCCTGCAGACATTCTCCAGAGCCTTGTTTTACCCCATACAGCTGCTGTTCTCACAGCTATTACCTTTGATAACTCATCTGTTCAGTTTGTTTGCATCCTATTGTCATTACTTTCTTTGTATTTTGCTGAATTATGTTATTTATCTCTCCTGTTTCCTGGTTTTATGCTTATGTATAGATGTGAATAAATAATCCGAAACTAAAAAACTAAACTGTTTACATTAGACGAGTCCCCCTGAGCACTCTATTAGGACTCTATCCACTGAAGGCAGATACATCTGGATGGAAAACGATGATTGTGGTCTGTGCATTTTGAGTATCTTTGAGTATATTCTTGTCAATGCTGAAAAGCTTCTGAAACAGCAATTCGGCCATCACAGCCCAATGAAACTTTTAAATTTAAATTTGTTTAAGAGGGTGAATGGAGTAAAACACTGAATCGACAGTATTCAAGAAGAATTAACTACAAAGAAAAAAAAATCTGTATGATTTAAAGGAAGATCATTGTGAAGATCAGTATGAGGCTGTGTTTGTATCAGTATACTCTGGATGTACAGGCTCTCCATGAGGTGCCAGTGATCTTAAAGTACATAGAAACAGGCATCAGTTACCTGTGCGAGGGGTTTGTTCACAAACTCCTTCTCGTGGTCAAAGAAGGAGTCCAGGCCCTGTTGCTTCACGATGATCTCGGACTCGTCGGAGAAGAGGACGGCGTCGCCATCAAACGCCACCCTCAGCTCGGTGTTGCTCAACTCACTATCCATTTCTTGAGTGAACATCGTGGCTGCAGCGATGCCTGAAGGAGGGGAGGGGGTTGGTCAGAAATATGCTTCGGGATGTGCATCCATCGCTATGTTTGATGGAGAAAGTTTGGAGCCGTGAATCACGCGGCCGTCTCCAACCAGCTCCTTCTTGCTGACACAGCGGCGGGTCGAGGTTTCCCTCAACAGCGTGAATGAGTCACACTCACACACACAGAGTCAACATGCGAGTGTGTAAATATCAGTGAAGTACAAACACATCTTGAGGCTGCTGAAATCAACTCATGCATCAAAACAAGGTTGTGTGAGATAGTAATCTGTGTTATATAATCCAACAGCATCACTTACCTTCCTCTATGGCCTCTCCGACATTATCCGAGTCCTTGGAGAGGTAGAGGTTGGTCATGTAGGCCTTAAGGTAGCCTATAGGACTTTTCCCTCCGGTCATACAGAATCTCTCTATGGTCAGATCTGTAAGTATAAAAGCAAGTTGGAGATATGTGAACAAGAAGCCCCCCCCTCCATAGTGGGTAAGTTCTAGACTGAGTAATGATTGTGCCTGTTGCTGCAGCGTGCTAACCAATCAACAATGTCTGGCTTAAGGAGCAGCGTACCGTAGTGATTAATGCTGTTTATGAGGCGTACTCCGACCTGGGCGTGGTTGTTGGTCATTAAGATGATATCAAACAGCTCCTCGCTGTCCGGGTAGAGCTTCCTCAGTCGACAGTTGACGTCCATCAGCGCCTGCGTGAGAGGGCGGACCCCTTTGCATCAAACAGCCGGGATGTTGCTTCAAGAGCGTTCAACATGAGGTTACAACACAAACATTACAACACTGTGCCACAGCTTTCTTTCAATTAAGCTTTTTAAAAAGGAACGTCAATGGTATTAAAACGACACTGCAACAAAGGAATGTGCTTTACAAAGCATTACCGCCTTCATCTGGGCGTTTTGTGCATCTTTGTATGGACATGCACGACACAGCTGGATACAGACAGACTTGAATGGCCGGGCTGATAAATCACTGTCACTGGATATGATATGTCACTGGAGTAGGAATACAAGTTGATTTTACTGTCACTCTTCTCCTGATGTTCCTCTATTCCAGGGTGATAACTTGCGTGAAAAAGTTGCTGGACAAGTTCAAGAGTGCAGAATCACAGGAACTGAACATCAATCAACCTTTACAGGAAGTTGTACAGTAGTTTTTCATCTCCTTCAATCCTAAAAATGTTTGTGTTGTCTGACTGAAGAATGGTGTGAATTAATGAGTTGTATGACGGAAGGAGAATTAAGGAGATTTTAAGGCAAATAGTTTTTGATAGGGATTTTATCCTGGCACTGCGCATGTCCTTCTTAAATAGACATTTTTCGCTTACATGTGTAAGCGAAAAATGTCAGATCGTCAGATCCAGTACAGTTTTATGATTGTACTGGATCTGACGGGTCCAAAATTCAAATACTTTACTTGACTTATTGAGGTGTGGCCTGATGTGTAACACGGCTTTCAAACCACTGTATTTGTGGATGCAGGGGTTCAAACTGTCTCATGTTGTCCCTTAACAGGAAACACTGCAGTCTTCTTACAAAGCGAGCTTTTCCTGGTGTGGCCTGAGGCAACAACGTGCATTCAGGTGAGGCAATAACGTTACATTCCAGGCACCACGCCCTGCAAACGGAGACCTTACTGCAGGTTAACACTACTGGGGGTCCAGACCTACCTTGACGAAGGGGAAAGCAGCTCCTGGCTTCAGCGGCTCTTCTTCATGCTCCACCTGATAAGCCACGTACTTCTCCAATCCTTCGTCCTCGTAGATCTTCCTCTCTGCCACCATGTTGAAGAGGGTGCGAGACGAGACTGCGATGGTGACAGCATACCGGGGTTTGGGCTGCGAGTGGATGGGAGGGGGCGCAAAAAAGAAAGTGCTATTGCAGCCTTGTCTGCACTTAGAAAGTCACAGAATTGTGTGCAAGAAAGTATGTGCAGCTAACACACAAGACCATGGTAATAAAACGTTTCAGCAAAATACTCACGGGTCTCGGTTTGTTGGTTTTGAGGTTGTCAAAGAAAGCTTTGGCCGCGGCCCAGTCTTTCTCCTCTCCGCCGTCTTCAGTTGGAGCCGAATCGTTTGGTTTGACTTCACACATTTTTAGGAACTTTGTAAGTCTTAAAAGTTAATAAAAAAAACCCCGATTAAATGTGAGGCAGCTGATGCTTGTGAACTTTGCGGAAATGTGTTTAGGGGAAAAAAAACGGTGGTGCGTCCACGAGTAGTGACGTCGGCAGATCCCTGGCATTTGATTGGCTGGTGAGGGGGAGACGGGATAATAGGACCTCCCCTGTCTACACGGTTCAGGTTACTTTTGTTTTGATGTGTTTTTTTATTTTTGTGCTGGGCCCCTTAGTTGTAAAAAATCAATGCAACAGCATACTATTATATTTGGCAATTAGTGTGCTTCGCTTATTCCCAGATTAAAAAAAGAAAACGAAATATGTAGGAATAAATACTCTGTTTTGTCTCCCCTTCTTTCTTCTGAAATAAATACTAGTAATCAAGTAACAACAAACAAAAAGACAAAAAAAAAAATCTAAACTAGGAATATATAATTAACACATCACCATCATCCCCACTATAACCAGTGGTGGAACAGGTTCTCAGATCCTTAAATTAAAGTCCCAATAGAGTAAAAAATACTCTAGTTTAAGTCAAAATTCCACATTCATAATCATTGTTAAATAAAAGTGCTGAAATATTATCAGTAAAACGTACTTAAAGTATCAAACTAAAAGTATCGTGCAGTAAAATGATATATTATCATATAAGATTGTTAATCCTGATGTATTGTAGCAGAATAGCAACAACTGAATTTTGGCCTCTGGGGATCAGTAGAGGCTCATTTCATCCTTTTTATCCCACAATTTGAAAAACATGTTGAATATTAGGCCTAATAGTTTACATAGTGCTTCTGATATTGAAATAGTAAATGCCTATGCACACACACGCACACACACACACACACACACCGTCCACTTGCACATGAATGATCTCCCTCCTCCTCCCTCCTCCATCACACCCCCAACACTTGGTAGAGTCCGGGACGGAGCATCATGGCGATTGACGGTAAGTACTCGGTCTCAGGTGTCCTGCGGGACTCGTGTGAAACTTTGCTCGGGACGGAATGAGAATGATGTTTGTAAAAAAAAAATAATAAATAATAATCATGTTTTATTCAGAATGTCTGTTATGCTGAGAGCAGTTTCTGCTTTAAATTACGCCGTGCCGCAGTGCTCCGGAGCTGGGACAGCTAGCGGCACGAGGATGATGCTGTGAAGTGCGGACACCCGCGCTGATGCAGGAATGTTGTGATCCCTTCATGGGATGCGCGCGTGCTCTCTCAGCCGCGTGAAGTGATGCTAAAGTGGACGCGGGTGAAGACGGTCCCGGAGCTTTTGATTGACCCAGTCACGTTTGTGCAAAAATATTCGATTGAGACACGCCTGTGACAGAGATTAAATATAAAATAATATGAATATTTATTTTGGGCTTCAACCGAAAAATCACAGCAGGCTGCTACTAAGCATCACATGACAACTTTGTTTTACCACTGTAAAAGAACTACATCACCTGGCGGATGAATATGGTGTATTGTTATCGATAATACAATAAAATAACGGCTTGAGTTGGAAAAGCAATCGCTGTTGTCAAATAACTGTTATTTTTCGTGGATGCACGTGCTGTTGACATTCTCGCTAAGCTGCATGGGTAATGTGTAGGCTACAATCTCCTCAAGGTTTTAGTGAATGTGACCGGAACACACATGACACCGAGCAGCGTTGAAAAAAAATGATGCAGTCAGTGTGAAGAGTAGGCGCGTGCCTTGCCCTGTCCCGTCATGGGCACTGTTCTTTATTATGTCACGTGCAGCCATACGTGCAGCAGTGTTTGTTGATACACGTCACCTGAGAAAGAGAGAGAGAGAGAGGGGGGCTTTATAAAGACATATCGGTGACTCACCAGTGGTAAAGGAATACATATATCTGCTATAAATACTCAATCTTGAATTAGCCCATATATTCACACAGCAATGGTTTATTCTTGAAAGTTAGAATATATATTATCATTTAAAATAATCTGAAATATGTCTTCAAAGGTATTTAACCATCATCCAATGGGCTCCCCAGACCCCAGAGCCCTCAGGTGCTTCATTCTATCATTCCAATTTTCAAGACTTTATCAATGAATTTGCTCCTGATTACTTCAATTCATTGTTTCTGTCTTAGTTCGTGCTTTAAAAAAATATTGTACAAAAGCACCCAATTGCAGCCTATGCAGTTTATAGGTAGATAACATGTTTGTTGTGGGTCCTAATTCAAAGTATCACACATATCAAGGGGATAGGGCATTTTAAAGGAGACAGACGCAGATTTCTTCATGGGCTCTTTATATTTTCCTTTTACACAATATGCAAACTAACTGTAACTTTCGTAAAATGTTTAGGTTTGTATGTAATTGTGTTGGTAGGATGTGAATCCAGTTAACCTAGATGACTTTTTGGAAGAATCACCTGAGAATAGATTTCTCTCTGAACAGATTTTATTTGTTTGATGGCTTCAAAAAACAAGCCGAGCTATTTTTGCAGCTTGAAGCTTGCGGTTTTACTTTAACCAATTACAACACCGTCACCACAAACAAGCAGTTCAGTGCTTTGATATTTGAAACTCATACAAGTAGAGTTGGCCTACTCAAAAAATACTGCTTCATATGGCTGAAGAGGTAGACACTCAAAATAATCGTATTACCCTAATACTGTAAAAAGCCCTCTTGTAAGCATTTTAGGGATATCAGTGACCAGTGTTAAACTGATTGCTACATTTTGGCAAGCTTTTTGTCTGTGACAGAATAGCCGACAGACAGATCCTCTAACATTTAGTGTCCAGGGAGTGTCTGTCTGCTGTGTGACATAACACAGGTCGGCCTTTCTCTGCCTCTGTAGATACCTGCATCATTAAATTCTGAGGTGACGAGCCAAGAGAGATAGTGTGTGACTCAAGTGTCAGTGTCCCTCATTAAGTTAAGCCTCAGTGGGATTGTGAAGGAAATAATGGAGTGAAAATAGTAAAAACATAACGTATTTCCAGATAATGCAATGAGATCATATTAGTTGGTGATAATTAGGTGAAACATAACTTTAACTGACGATATACAAACCGGTTGGGACATTGAGTTCGGAGGTCATGACTTTGTTATTTCAATCTGGGAATTTAACACATTGAGTATATTTTAAAGAAGGATTTCACCATTTTTAGACTTTTCATAACTATATTTTACTACTTGTAGACCAATAAATACATACATAAATAATTCATTATTTCGACCATGTTAGGAAACACAATTATTCCTGAATTATTACTTCTTATGAAATATGCATTGACGTAATAATCACTGCATTTAATATGAATAATGTACAACATGAATGGCCTTCATCACAGTTATGACCTATTCCGAGAGATTTATTCCATTGAAACATGAGTTCTGCTTTTAAGATGGTTACAGATATATAACAGTGTACTTAAAAAAATAATAATGTTAAGTTGTTTTCAGTACTTTACCCATGAATGCCCACACTATTTTAAAGGAATACCTAGACATTTTCAAAATAGCACTTATTTCTCCCTCTTTCTCTACCGAGATGAGAAGATTGATGCCACGCTCATATCTGTCCATTAAATAATGTATGAAGCTGGAACCAGGAGACTGTTAGCTTAGCTTAGCATAAAGACTGGAAGTAGTAGGAAACAGCTAGCATAGCTCTTACCAAAGGTGAAATGCCTATGGGCATCTCTAAAGCTCAATAATTAACACAGCCAAAAGAAAAAAGAAGTACTGAACACAACTCAAACAAAAACTTGGGATTTTTACACTTTGGCTTCTGTATGTTTGCAGGCGAGCTGTTTCCTTTGCTTCCAGTCTTCGAGCAAAGATAAGCTAAGCTAACCGGCGCCAGGTTTACAGTGGTTTCACAAATATTTTTACAATATTTGTTTTTCCAAATACCTCGCTAACTTGATGTTCAGAATTAACCATTTCATTGGATTGAACTTTTTTTTCTCTGTTGGTTCCAGCTCATCAGTTTTATAGTTGTTGGCATATCCATCTGCCAGCCTCCCAAACCTGAGGCATGAACATATGTTTCTACCGTAGCCTACATGGAATCATATTTATAACTTCTGACTCCAAACTTTTTCTCTCTCTCTCTCTCTCTTTCTCTCCCAGGAGGGGGGAGGAACTGTGGTGTTCATGAGCTCATCTGTGCCAGACGAGGTAAGGCCATGTTTCACGTTGCAAATTTGCAAAAGAGCATATTTTTGTTTGTGTTTGTTTTCATTCGGAGCATAATGGCGTTCGTGCTCGGCCGTACTCCCCGACATCGCTTTAAAAGCACAAAGATTGCTATGTCTAAACATTTAGCTCTATTCCTGTGAATGTTCACTGAAGTTTGGTGAATAGAAAGTGTCTCAATATGGACTTCACAAAGCATAATGCCTGCGTGTGAATTATGCATGGCATATCAAGTTTTGGTTTACTTCAGCAAAAGAAGGCAGCTGTGTGTTCATGATTTATTCAGCGCGGAGGTTTTGTTTCGTATCAGAAGTCCATGTGTAAGCAACATTTCCACATCGCCTACTTACTTTTTAAACAAGCATGCCCCACAAAGTAGAGCCAGGTTAAGTATGCACTGGTCTAACAACTTAAAAGTGGGATAAGTTATTACATTAATGAATTAGTGACGGCTAACACAACAGAAGGATTTGTTTCCCTTGTTCTTATGTCACAAAAACATTTGATCTAAATGAGCTCACGTTTCCTCCCAGGTTATTATTAATTTGCTGTTTGCATATTGAATGGTTCAGTGGCTGTGTTTTCATGTTTATTAGTCAGCTTACTGGAGTCATTACCTCGAAAAAAAAAAAAAAAAAAAGAAGCTGATTGAATCCCGAGGCTCATTTCAGAGTCCTGGGTTCAGCCTCAGCTCATACGCCGTAAAAAACAAAATACAGATTCATTTTCTTGTGTGTTCTTTTCAGACACACAATTCGTGGATGCACACACTCAGAGAGAAAGGGAAGTGGCTGAGGAGGATCCACTTTAATCTGTTCAAATAAACATCAAGCTTTCCTGAGAATGATGGGTGTTATATAAAAAACAAGCGACGGCAGGGTGAGCTGTTGCTAAGGCTTGCTGCCGCTCCACTTTCCAGTGTACATTGGACGGAGGCCTCAGGTTACCTCAGGTGCCTAAATTATTCAGCTGTCGTTGACATTTACAGAGCGGGGGCCATGTATGAAGCGTTATCACACCCGGGGCACAGGGCCACGAGCTGTGTATATTTCGGCTGCAGAGGTTCATTCTGGCACAATCGACACACACAACTTGTCTGCAGTGAGAGTTGATACGTAAGCCTGGCAAGTGCTGGCCGGGGACTGGGATTTATTACATGTCGGATTACTTCAGAGCAGAGACAACTTTGTTTCTCCCTCTTCTTAGATGGTTTACTATCTATAGCAGCAGAAATACTGATAGTGCTTTTTTGGGGAACAGCTGGCTTTAAAGAGGATATCCGTTTGGAGAAGGTAAGCCTCTGCCGCCACGTCGGAGCTCTTATCTCTCTCCCACTTCTCTTGCCATTCTTGGGAATTTAGCATTCATTACTTTGGCAGTCGGCAGCAGCACATAGTTGTCAGGCTGCAGTGGTCTCTGCCTGTTGCCATGGTGAAACAAGTCCATCCATAAGTTCAGTCTGTAGTCAGGAGGGTTGAGAAACTGTCTCTCTTCTATTCTCTCCTCCTCTCGCATTCGTGCTCTGCAGTACCAACACCAGTTTTCACACTGTTGACCAATTTAATCAGTCACAGGTGTGTTAGAAATGAGCCCCTGCTACAAAACACACCATACAACATTTGGGTTATTGCTGTGGTTCAGTCTCAGCGCTCTCATCAGTATCTTTTCCAGACATGGCAAGCAGCAAAATAAAAAAAACCCTCCCTCTGTACCTGCTCAGCATCACACAGGAGACAGACAAAGTGAGCGACTGGCTGGTGAAGACCCAGATATTTCCCTCAAGAGTTGGTGGCGGCCAAAAGAGACATTGGGTAACCAGGTTACTATTGCGGTAGTAAGCTATCCATCTGGACATGATAACCTGTGCAGCACATGGGAGAGCAAACACACACTTGCATCGATTCCTTACAATTTGGTTGTTGTGGTTATAAAAAAGAAAGAGACTCCAATGTCTTTAAATGCAAATTATTGCTCTACAGCACCATGCTCACCACCTCAACATGTGGAGAAGTCCCCAGCTTGCCTACGGTTGCTAAGCTATGATTGGACAATCGCTGCTCATGGCAGGGGTTTAGTCAACAGTTAATATAAAACACCTGTGTCGTGTGTCTCCCGTGAAACACTAAGGGATTCATTGTAGCGTATTAAGTGCAGGCCCAGTGCGGTTTGGCTGGTTTACAGAGTTCTACGTTTCAGTCAGATACAGCCCCTTTGAGGCTCTCATAAAAATAGCACATCAGCAGCGCAGGGCTGCATGGTTACATGAAGTATGGTTGTCCTACATACACTGCTGTAGATTGTATCTGTTATGCCTTTGAAGTGGAACAAGCTCCGATTGTTTAAAAGCACAATAGCTAATGCTGACCCCCCCGACTGGCGAGGCGACATTTTAGGAGTTTGATTACCAAATAGAATGCGTATCATCAGATGGATTTATTTGTGGTATCAAAGTAGAGTTGTTTACAGCCTTAAAAGCATTTTCTTTTAGCTTGCAGCCATCTGCGTTTGTTTTTATTTATAGCATGTTTTTTTCTTAAGAATAAAAGACTTCAATAATCAGTATTATGTTTTTTTGTTTTCTCTTTTCTTCTGTCTGTCTCCCCCCCCTGCAACTCTCTCCTTCCCTCCCTCTGTATTTCTGTTCTTCTCCTCCTCAGTCTCTCCTGAGCTTCTGGGTGTCCTGTCTTCCATTGCAGCCTTCATGGCGTTGATGGCTCTGTTTTTTCTTTACCTCAGCAACAAGCTGTCAGTGGAGAGTCCGGCAGATCTGTCACATCTCAGTGGCTATAAGAACAACAAGCCAGGTACTCAACACACACATCGATCTACCACAGTGGCTGCATTTACACACTTGAACTGGGATAGCAGTGCTCCCAAACCAAAAAAATATCTCGCAATAATATACACAATTTGTTCCACCATAAGTGGGCTCATTGTATGTTTGTATGCTCAACTGTGCAGCTGTATATCTGACTGTGTATTGTCTCCAGAATAAGCCAAAGTGTGTGTTCATGTTTGTATGATTGATTCATAATTCAGATTCAGTTTTTATGAACAAACAATAATAACTTTAGAGCCACCATTTCTACAGATGATTTGCCTCATTACAGTATCAGTCATGCAATATTATTAATATTATAAGCTGCTTCCATAACAGGACAGTCGCTTCTTTTACCGTCCCGTCAGATTAGCTCACCAATTAATAAACGCTTATAATCCCCATGTTGGTTTCTATGCACGTGTTGAGCTCAGCACACACTGTGATGCTAGCGCTACACCCTTCTAACGACCACATGTCCGTGTCAGCGCCTCTGATGAGGTAATCTAGCGGCCAGCGTGGTGACGGGATCCCCGGCTGAGAGATGGCCTTCTTCAAGAGCTTCCAGCAGAACCTCCCGTCTGTCAACATTTCCTCCCTCTTGGACTCGGTCACCAGCCGCGTGGATGACCTGGCCAACGCCGTCAGCGACGTCACCTATGCTGTCAGCGACCAGCTGACGGAGCAGGTCACCACTATCATCAGCAAGGTGCAAGACGAGGAAGATGGCGAAAACAGTGGCCAGGAGTCGGGTCAGATTTCCACGACACAGGAAGGAGGAAGCAAGGCCGGCAACACAGCCTCGAAGACCAACCCGTCCGGTGATGCTAACGAGGCCAAGAGCAATCCGAGCCAGCTGGAGTGGGAATGGAGGGACGGATGCTGGCGAGTGAAAAAGACAGAAGCCGAGTTAGCAGAGGAAGAGAAGAGGAAGGAGGAGGAGAGGGAGCTGCAGGAGAAGAGAGAGCAAAGGAGAAAAGAAAGGAGGGAAAAGCAGCTGGAGAAAGAAGCCATGGCACATAAAAACAAAGAGGAATCCCAAGATGGAGCGCAAGAAGAGGAAGCCCACGCTTTAGAGAAAAAAGACAACAGTGTCAGCGGAGACAGCTCCACCGCTCAACCACCTCCATCACCTGGTCCTGAGACTGATAGCGGGTTATCAAAGCAGAAAAGGCCGGAAGATGAAGAAAAGGTAGAGGCGGCGGACAGCCTTGAGAGAGAGGGAGATGACGAGGAAGAGGCCGAGCTGTCTAGATCTTGCTCAGCAGTGAAAAAGAAAAAGTCGGACAAGAAGAAGAGGAAAGGAGCAAAGGAGAGTTCGAAGAAATCGGAAGAGGCCTCAGATGTGGAGGAGAAGAAGAAGAAAGGGAAGAAAAGCAAGAAGAAAAAAAAAGGAAAACAAGGTTAGATGGCGTGCTGCTTCCATTTCACCTTCTGGGTCTCTTCTTCTTCACTCTTTGGAATCATAACCTGAAGTTCTTACCCTAAAAACTCAGCTCTCCAGAGTGCTGTGTGCCAGTTTCAGCATCTGCATCTTTGTTCTTGCCTCACTGCACATAATATGTTTTTTGTATAAGATAAATGAAATGTGTGAACAAGAGTCTCTGTGTGTGTTCTCTCCAGAGGGAGTTTTATCAGACAGCGAGGAGGACAAAGGCCCCGAGGCTGTGGCCCAGCAGAACACCACTTCCGCATGGAGCAACAAATGCAAACAGTCCACTGAGCAGGGAGGCTACAGCAGCGAAGCCTCCAGCGAACGGGGTGAGAGTGTGCATTGTTCTGCAGGAAACTTTATTTAACCAGGAGAGGTGAGCGGAGCAACACATGCACGGTAGAAACGAAAGGTTACAAAATACAAGACGCACTTTATAATGAATGAGATAAAATATGAGGGAAATAATTAAAGCACATAACATAAGATGATTGCGTGAGATTGATCATAATAATCAGTGGTGGACGAAGTATTCAGATATTCTACTTCAGCGAAAGCAGTAATACTACAGCAAAGACAAAAACAAGTAAAAGTCAGAGATTCAAGTTAAAGTACAAACGTGTTAGCATCAAAATATACATCAATCATCAATTGCCAAAATGCCGGGGTGTTCCTTTAGTTGTCGTTAAAATGTCATTGGACCTACATGCTGATCACACAGAGTTTGAACACCTCTCGGCTGTTTCAGTTTACCAGGATGGACTCACCTGTGGCTCCGGCACAGTTTAAGAGGTTTTAACCCGACTCTGCGGTCGACTGTATGCTGCATGCTTAATGAATATTTCTGCCGAGCACAGTACGTCTCCAGTAACACACCTCTTCGTATCACATTCCCTCCGCATCCCGCTCTGTCACTGTCGTGAAAGCAGCCAACAGGATCCAGAGAATAAAGAAAAATTCCTCCGTCAGTGAGCCCCAGCCTCCTCCGTACCAGGACGAGGGCCCGGCGGCGCGCGTGTCCTCTCGTTCCCGAGGGGTCAGGAGGGGGTCGTCCCGCTGTGCCAGTGAGGCCAGCGAGGCCAGTGTAGACCAGGACACCGAGAGCTACCTCAACAAAGGCTGTGAGGAGGACATACCCAGCGACAGCACCGCTGTGCTGGGACCTGAGGTGAGATCAAAGCTGCTGTATGTTCTTTAATTTCTTAGTTTATAGTAGAAATGTATTTATATGTAGTTTATACCTGCCCTGTAGTTCACCATAACTATACTCTCTTGGGGACGTAACTGACTATACTAATACTATTCAGGAACAAGAGTAAGTTGACGAAGGTCCCTCTAACACTTCAGATTCCCTCCTCTTTCATACTCTGATTCTCTCTTTCCTCCGCTCAGGACGGCTCCGGTCCTCAGCTCCCTACTGCCTACGAGCCAGAGCCACTGGCCAAATACGGCACGCTGGACGTCGCCTTCGAGTACGACTCCGGCGAGCAGTGGTTGGCAGTGACTGTCACTGCGGCGACAGACATCCCCGCTCTCAAGCAGACGGGCAACATCGCATGGCAGGTCCACCTGGTCCTGCTGCCCACCAAGAAGCAACGGGCCAAGACCGGCGTGCAGAAGGGTCCGTGTCCTGTCTTCACGGAAACATTTAAGTTTTCCAGAGTGGAACAGGAGGCCCTGGGGGACTACGCTGTTCGCTTCCGCCTGTACAGCATCAGGCGGATGAAAAAGGAGAAAGTCCTGGGAGAGAAGGTGTTCTACCTGACTAAGCTCAACCTGCAGGGAAAGATCGCTCTACCTGTCACCCTGGAGCCGGGCTCTGAACTCACAGTGAGAACACTTTGTGAATTTCTATCTCGCACTGTGCATAGTTATATCTGAAGCAAGACACTTTTCATAATATATTAATCCTCTCTAGGTCTATTAAACCTCCACTTCCTCTATTCAATTTGAAATGTCTTTATTTCAAATCCAAATAATATTCAATTTACCATAATGAAAGACAGAAATCACATTTGAGGAGCTGGAACCACACACGTTTGTCCTTTTTTTGTGGGGATTATCAAAATAGCTAATTTCCTGTTGATTGATAATTGACTAATTAGCTGACGTTCAAACAAGATTCAATTATTTTGTTAAAGGAAGCAGTTTCACTGCATCATCAGATGCACTTTTTCAGTGAGACCTTCACACATAATGTCAAAAGATATCGATCAGTAGATGGACGGAATAAACTATAAAAAACAATCTTAGCACAGAATCTTCTACTTTCAGTACTTAATATATAGTTGCATTAAAAACAGTAGCTGTCATGCCAGGTCGTCAGGCAGATTAGAACATCAAATTACAAGAGGTAAGAAATCTCTTAGTCAAACACTGTGAGGCTCTCCTTGAACTGAATGTTAACATGCTAATGTTTAGCAGGTTAAAAGTTTAGCATCTAAACATTTGCTAATTTGCACACAAATACAGTCAAAGTACAGCTAGCTAGATGTAAAGCCAGTGGTTTAACAAATGTATTCTTCATTCTGAAGGGAAAATAAAAGTCTGGACTATATTTCATGGCCCATCGAGTACTTGTTTGACTAACTCCCTGTGTGTTTCCTCTGGCCAGGGTTGCGGCTCTGTTGTGAGCGTTTCTCGCAGTGCAGGAGCTCTGTCCTGCCGCTCTACTGAAGACTCTTCCCTGCCAGAGGTCCTCCTGGGTCTCCTCTACAACTCCGCCACGGGTCAGTTATCGGCTGAGGTCATCCAGGGAAGCCACTTCAAAACCACAGCGTCCGACAAACCCGTCAGTACGTACAAAAGTACCCATGTTAAACCGTTTTCATTCTTGGGGTTTGTGTCCAGCTTGGTTTGAGGTGCTGAGTGGCGATGTAAGTTTTCTTTTCCTTTGTGGAAAGTGGGCTGACACACTAAACAGATGGGCAAGACTCCCAGCAGCTAACAAATGGTGCACCATTACATTGAAGTATGAATTGGCAACAGCACCAGCTTTTTAGTAACCGAAGTGATTAAAGCCATAATGCTGGAGCAATTGCTGCTTATCAGAGTTCCCGTGAAAGCTGACCTTCTGGTGTGTCTCACAATCTTTAAACTGCTTCCTGTTTTTCTTCTTTCCACCTTTGTGTGCGGTGGTGTGTGTGCCACAGACGGCCTGTTCTGTTGTATAAAACACTTCGTAGGGGGGCAGCTTTATATCATGAGAGGTAAGTCAGCAGTGAATTACTAGTAATCGAATCAGTGTTAGGAGTCTTTGAATCACGTGTAGATTAGAAGGTTTTGACCCCAAACATCACGTATTTGCTCCGTTGGATTAAGTTCTGGTAATGCGCAAATAAATTATGAAACCTCAAAATATTTGGGTAGTTTATCCAAATTTCAGAGCAACACTTTTTTTTTTTTTTTTTTTGCTACTTCTAAAAATTAAAAGTAGTTTCATATTTCACCCACAGATATGAGAGTTGTATCGATTTTTTTATCTATTCTCGGCAAGAAGACATATTTTCCAAAATGCTGAACTAGTCTTTTAACAATTACCCCTTATAGAAGACATATTTTAGGTTTCAGTTGTATCTCATGTGTATTATTTTGTCATTGTAGTCTAATACAGCTCTATATATGTTCATATTTGTGTAACTTAAACGTAATTATTTAATAATATATAATTCAGCTTTGGCAATAGTGTAACCTAAAAATGGAACATTCGTGCCAGTACGGCATATTTGAATTTGAGAGACAGACATGAGCCTTTCGGCCGGAACCGAACCCGAGCCACTTAATGATACGTAGCTCGCTCTACCCGTTGATCCACCAGGTCACCCCTAAAATGTCATTATCAATGCTGTAAAAAAAAATGTGCGCCTGAATAAAACCTCTGCTGCACAGTTTGTTGCAGCACTGATATCCCACCACTTGATGGCGCTCTCTCATCGCTCTCTCCCACACACCTCCTTGCAGACACCTACGTGAAGCTGACCATGCTGGACTCAAAGGGGAAAGAGATGTCCAAGTGCAAGACGGCCGTGTGCCGCGGCCAGCCCAACCCCACCTACAAGGAGACCTTCTTGTTCCAGGTGGCGCTCTTCCAGCTGTCCGAGGTGTCTCTGGTGCTGTCGGTGTTCTGCCGCCGAAGCAGCATGAGGCCCAGGGAGAGGCTGGGCTGGGTCTCCCTGGGCCTCAACAGCACCGGCGAGGAGCAGCAGAGCCACTGGACAGAGATGAAAGCGGCGGAGGGACAGCAGGTCTGCCACTGGCACAGCCTTACCGACACATAGGGGGAAGATTTAGGAAGACTGACATTGACAACATTCCCTGGACGGTCGGAGTCTGTGGGGAGCAGGAGGCACCTTGTGAGATGTGTGTGTGTGTGTGTGTGTGTGTGTGATGTGTGTGTGTGCTGCATACAGGTGTGAGAGCGGGCATGGGTTCCCCGGTCTTCACTGCCAGGGCCGTCATGCATTAATCCCCTTTAATCTGACTGACTTTATTGGTGGAGGTGTAAACACCAGCGCCAGCCTTTTTTTATTGACGCACAGAGGCAGACTGAAAATGAATTGCGTTATAATTACTGAACAAACCAAGAACAGGAGGAGGTTTTCCAGTAATGCTGCCTACAGCGAGATCTGCATGTACACCAACTGTTTACAGGACAATGCAAGACACTTCCAAACATTTCCCGTCTCTGAATCTTGGACCAAAGAGCTCGGTCCGTGACTAGCAAGACTCCTCCCCGTCTCTGCTGGGCTTCTCTGGACTTCAGCTGCCACCAGCATACCAGACATTTCTCTATCAGTCATAGCCATTGACAGAAGAGGAGGCAATGGAACAAAAAGACTGTTACAAAAGGGCCTATAAGATGCTGCAACTATGCTTACAAGCAATGCTTTGTACAGTTTGTTTACATGCACATGCCATTATGCAAGATCCTTTCATCTGTTTCCCCTTTTATGTTTTTCGATTATCAGTCAAATGGTTTACCGGATTTGTGGGCGTCTCTTTGGGGTATGTGCTGCACAAAGACAGCGTTCTTTTCTTTTCTTTTTTTGTTATGGTGGTATTGCATAACCCGGTACACTATGCATCCGACGCCACTTTCAGCGAGAGGAATGAAATTCTGTCTCGTGCTCGCCGAGAGTCTCTTACAGAATTGGACACAGCTCCGCATGCCACCGGTATCAAAGAGCAGCTTCCTTTGCTTGTGTAATACAGATTGAGCCCGTTTCACCGTTCAGCCTTCTGACAACTCAGCCATGTTCATTCATGTAGAAACACGGTGCTTCCCGCTGAGGAGGAATATGCAGAAGCCAATTCCTCCTCCAATAAACCTGGCCGTCTCTCTGAGGACTGAGGCAGCGCCGATAACAGCGGTGCTAAGGCCGGGAATTGAGCTGGAGTGGCAAAAGGAAATTATTGCAAAAAAGATGGATTATTGAATAAAGGTTATAATAAATTAAAACGTTGTCCCGACGTGTGAGGAATCTGGTTTTCTGTTATCATCTGGAACAAAGCCAGTCTTTAACCGTCATCAGACAAATTAAAATGAGTCAGAAAATCCCCCCAAAGACTTCTGAAGGCTACACAGCCACACCCCATGTCCCAGTGAAAAGTACGACTACCTCCCTCATCTCTCTGCTGGCTGAAGCTCGAGGGTGTGGGATGCATTCTTCTTCTCCTCGTCCCAGTGATGTCACATCTGAACCCCCTCCTCTGGGTTTGGGGCGCTGCAAACCACACCTCGCTCCGTCAGTCCTCCCGCAGGGCCACATTTCTTCAAAGTCAAATTGTATTCCTTGTAAAAAAAAAAAAAAAAAAAAATACAAACATTGCTGGGAAACAATGTTTATCTGGCATTGCTGCCAGATAAACAATTGGCTTTTTCCGGTTGGTAAACGTTGGTAATCTAAGACTCACGAAGTCTGAACTACTTAAAAAAAAAAAATCTTATACACACCATTAAACTGAGGCGGGATTGACGTTACAAAGCTGTGCAGTGAATGTTGTCACTACCACATTGCATTGTGGGATATTTATGCAGGGGTAGTGTCCAGTGTTTGCATACAGTAATATTTTAAAATAAATAGTATGCAATTTCCGTATTAAGGTTTCGCACCACCTAAAAATCTCACATGGACCTACTGTTTCAGCATTCTTAATAGTATGTTAGTATGGAATTAAGTGTGTCCCAATATATAGTATGTCACATACAATAAGCCAAAAATACCAGGGTGTGCCACTGCATCTGGTCACATCATGCTTTTCTGGCTATGCTGACCCAATACGGATCGAATAAACATGTTTCTTAATAGGTTTGAGGTGCTGGTGGGCGATCTTATTTCCTTCAGACGGAGCCAGACTAAGTTAGCCGTTTCAATTCTTCATGCTAAGCTGCTAGCTGTAGCTTCATCTTCACCTCACAGAAAGTGGTGTCAATCTTATCATCAAGCAAACCAGCGTTAACTCGACAAGAAAACAGAAACAATGGAACGTGTTTTGCAAAGACGGAGAAAAGAATGAGGCCATAAGTCAAACAAAGTTTTAACAATGTTGAGTTTTTATTTCCATTAATCTGGCCTTCAACGGTATGTTCGTATCATCAGTCAACATCAGTCTGGCACAGCGCGAGCAGCGTTGCAGGTGGCTGGAGCCTCAACCAGTCGTGGATCAGACCCCAGGAGCACATAGTTTCACAGCTCCTAACACCTAGCAAGGGCCACTGTGGCCTTGCAGGGGATTTGATCCTGCTCTGGGCCACGGAAAACCAGCTGTGCCACAGATCCTAGATTGGAGGCACCAAGGACTGGAGGAATGGGGGGCTTTGCCTTCCAACATACCAGCTGACCCCATTTACGCCCCAGAACAGGTTTAGTCAGCCAGGTGATTATGAGGTCCCCAGAGTGTCGGTAAAAGTTTTCAGGTGTAACGAGGTTTTGGAAACAGGCCGGGTTTTTTTTCCCATCTCTGGTGCAGCAGAAGTGTCAATTTGGATTCGTTTGAGCTGTATGGCCATTTTACATCAGTGTAATTAGGAATTTGGCTCTTCATACATCCCGTTTAGCTAAAGAAGCCTAGTCAAATATTGTTATATTTCACTGGAGAGGCCCGAGAGCAGCAGCAGCAGCAGCCACCTGGAGCAGGTAGACATTTGGCTTCAAAGACACTTTACTGCTTGCCAACTGACTGTTGCAGGAGCTCAGTCAACGATATTCTGTTTCAGGTCGACCTTCCTATCAATCAGGTCATCTTGACGTCTATAAAACACATTGGTCTGCCTGAGCGCCGCTCTCAGGTCAGTTAAGTTCCTACTCAAGCGTTCAGTGGCACGAGCGAGTTTTCCTTGGCGAAGAAATAAGCTCACGGCTCAGTCGGGTCGTAACCTCTTTGTGATAAGGAATAATAAACGTCTTGTCATTTTATTGAATGTGTCATCAGTTTAAAAAAAAAAAATCTTTTTTTAAATAATCTATTCAATAAATATACAGGAACCATGGACTTATGGGAGTTTCTGTGTCATAAAAGCATCCTCACAGTTAGAACCTTTTTGGAGGCGGGAGAACAATAAAAATACGAAACTTATCCAAATATCTCTTTTTAAAAGGTAACTCCTTCGGTCGATCTCTTTGTTCAGATTACAGAAATTAAGTCCGGTCAAATAAAAGACTTTGGATGTACAACACATTATGGGGAAAGGCTCCAAAGGGTCGACTCCTAAAAAAGTACCATGCAGAGTGGATGAGGGTGTACTAGACTGCATCCTCACACTGTGCACCCTGCAGACCATAATGTAAAGCAGCAGACATCGTACCTATTTGGCAAAGAAAACATTCATCAATCAATGGTTAAAAAAAAAAAAAAAAAAAAAAAAGAAGTGAAACCAACACGGCGACACTGTAAAGTGACGTTTCTGTCTGAGCTGGGAAACAGGTCTATACAGGAGGGTGACATAACCATGGCGGGACAAATCTTATACTTCTGTCTCAAAGCCGGAACTGGCAAAATATTAAGACAATAGTTCAATAGTTTATGCTTATTTGGTCTCTGGTGGAGAGTTAGAGGAGAAGATCTGATCTTAGTGAGCTTCAGCGGTTCTGAATTTGCTGTTAGTTCCTGTTTCACGGTCTGTACGTTAAACTTACTCGACAGATTTTAGAGAAGGCGAAGACAATCTCATCCAACTCTCTGCCTGAAAGCAAACACTTCCTAATATGTCAAGCTGTTACCGTTCAACTTTTAAAATCCATAATCCTAATAGTACATTTAATCTTCCTTATAATTACAACAGATTTTGGCAGCTGTGATTGTTGACTTTGTTGCACTTCAGTAAGGGGACATTGTAACCGTTGATTGGTTAATATTATCACATTGAAACATGACATAGCATCAAAAACAGACCTCGAAGAGGGCACACCCTGTAGGCAGAACAAAATGACAAGATGGTGGCTGGTTTTCATGACAAATTTGAGGCATTATGGTGACCGCTGAAGAGAATTCCTTCTTGAGAACGTAACACTACTAAACGTGATTGGGCCGACTCTTCAGTTAAGGTCCTGTCTCGTTTTCGGACGTTCCGGAAAATGTTCGTTCGACAGATTTATACATTTAGACATTATTTAAAAAAAAAAAAAAAAATGAAAGAAAGATTGTTCAATAAAATACTTCTGACCATCAGTGCTTCTATTACGTCCACGTACAAGAAGTACAGTTTGTAACTGTAAAATGGAGAAAAAAGAAGAAGCAGTGGCAACCGTGTGCTGCTGCCACGTTTGCTCTACTTACTGAAACTGTCAACAAGCTGCTGGGCCCAACGCAGCCTGACACCAGTCTGTCGGTGATTGGGTAACCGATAGCTCCAGTCAGGTGGAGTTTATCGCGGGAGAGTTTCTGTACACTGTGTACAACCGTCCTTTTGTCCTCAGCAGGCCGTTGAGAGGTGCAAATGACATCTGTAGTGGTTGATGATCGAGCGTGATTGAAGAACATGAAAACGGAGGAGGGACATCCACTGGAAAGGCTTATTTTTGTTGGCAGTTTTTCCTTTCAGCTTCCACTCCTCAAATTTTCAGTCGAGTTGTGGATTAGACGACCAAGCCAACAGCTTTTAAAGGTTAACTTGTTTCTCACCCCAAACTTTCCTTCTGTGCGTTTATCCGGCAGTCCGTCCACCCGTCCGTCCTCATCACTGCTCGCAGTGGGAGCTGCTGGTCTTATAAATACTTCCAGTCCTTCAACCTGCTTTTTGGCTCTTTGCTGGGCCACTCAGCCCGCTGCTAGATGAACTTGAAGCACTTGGTCTTGTCGTGGGGCAAGCGAGTCTTAAACAGCACAGAGTCCACGCGAAACTGCGTGTACAGCAGTGGCATGTAGCCGTACACCTTGACGAAGAAGTTGATGCACTTGTGGCGTTCGTGGAAATGCGAGTCGTCGTGCGACAGGGCCTGAGGGCATCCGGGGCAGCGGAAAGTCCAGCGCGACGTTACCTAACATGGACAGAGAGCGAGAGAGACAGTCGGTCGGTTATTGGCAGTATTAGTAACCTTTGCCAAACTCGTCATCAGAGATAGCGTTACGGTTGCCAAACATGTCGTCTAGTCCTCATCCTAAAAGGCTTTTTTTCTTGCGATGGTTAAAGTGAGAACATACTGTGAAGAAGTCTGATCTTCTATTTTACTCGTACCAATAACTAGCTCTACACTACAATAAAACAACAATGCTGTTTCAGAATTCCCACTCTTTTCTAGAGATTATTTTCCAGGTCATACTCAGTGATGATCTTGTTGGTATGACAGACACCCTACACTAATATTGTCCTCTCCGTGGAAGTGTGATATAAAAGATGTGCAGTCTATTCCATGATACAATCAACTCTGGCTGAACACCAAGCTCTCCAGCTACAGCTGATAAACTCTCCACTTGTCTTTTCAACGGGCAAAGTAGTCGACCATTGACTAGAAATGACTGTTTGTTATTGTGTTTAACCAAGTAGACGTCTCAAGGAGAAGTCTCTGCAATCTTGCGTTGCTTCCACATTGTCAACATCAGCTGAATATTCCGCGATGACATAGAAACGGATACAACTCCTCTCTCTGACTCTCACTCACGTTTCCAGCGGTGTCTTCCGGCAACAAGTGTCATGACACAATAATAAACAGAAAGGTAGGTGACAAAGAAACAGACTTTTAGAGAACGTACATTGATGGAGTGATCAAACTGCAGCGTTATCCCTCGATACTGGACCGATTTCCAAAATGAGGGATTGTAGGGTCCAGGTTGGAGAATACTGAAGTTACCGTTTAAAACTACATGAATGTTGAAGAAAAAGACAAATATCCCTAAAAGCCGAGTTCGATTGTTGGTAATTCATCACCAGTGATGCATAAAATCAATGTATTTGCTGTTTTATTTGGGCTAAAAGAGAAATACAGTCCCTCTCTCCATTTAGGCCTCCGCGTTCAAACTTGCCCCAAATTCATTATTCACAAGGCTTATTCCTAACAGTGAATTGCCGTCATGCAACACACTCCATCAAAGCGGTCCTTAATTCCCCTCTGAAACACCCGTGAATATTAACACGCCACTAAATCAAAAATAACTTAAACTGAGGGCTGCAATAACATTTTTTGCTCCAACAGCTTCCATGGCTGGATTGCTATAATTATTTGTCTAGCCAATACGCTCAGCTGAACAAATGTCCTTCCGATAAAAATCCAGTGGACAAATCAGGCATAAAGCACCGATTCGATCTTGTGTTTTTGATTTATCATTTGTGTGGAATATTGGATACGTCAGTTTGAGTAATGGCAAGGCTAAGTGGGCAAAAACATAAACACACAGGGCCCTGAGGGGGGGAACGGGAAGTTTGCGGGTGCTGCGTGTGCTCCGTCACTGACCTTGATGGGTGGTTTGCGGGTGATGTGAGAGACCAGGAAGTTCATGGCGATGTCCTCGCAGTTTATGTAGTCGTCCACCATGTCCCTGATGGCCTGGGGCATCACGTAGGAGTACAGGTAGGCGTAGTACTACAAAACGAGCAGGGGTAACGAGTGAATGAGACGGCCAAAAGATCAATTCAGGTGAATGCTGTATGTCTCTTTTTTTTGGGAGAGTGGTGAGGAGTATAAGATCTGACCTTATGAAAGAAAGCAGCTCCTGTCAGGACCATGGAGAGCTCACAGGAGTAGTTGGAGTTGTACAGCCAGGACTGGTGGTTCACGTCCCATGCGTGGTACCTCCCGGGGAAACCCACGATGCGATCTCTGGCCTCACGCCACACTCTGCGAGACACCGCGGAACACAAAGTCAGCAGAATTCCTCATTTCAAATCGAGTAATCAAGACGTGACTGGGCAGAATTAATCAGTCTTTTATTGGTATTTGTCCCTTTTTTCTTTAATGGTCATTAGTTTGGTTTCCAAGTGTCTGTCTGTTCACATCCATCTGTTTAAACTTGTAATCCACTGTATACAAGCAATGTGACAACTATTTGCCTCTTGGGAGCAATTTAGTAACCAGTCTGTTGTCTTCTACGAGTGTATTTAAAACCAAATGGTCTCTCTTGGCTCATATTTACACATAATGGAGCCCAGTAACTGCAGGAAACACTGTGTTTCAGTTAATTAGATCAGATACTCGGAGTTCCTTCAACAGACACAGACGACGCAAGAAATTTCAAAAAGCAATCCAACGTCTCAAATGTGAGACCACTGAAAAGCCTGAGAGTCAGCTGCTGCGTAATGCTTCCTCTTTGGGCGAGAGTGGAGGCAAGGAATTCTGGGAGAGTTTGAGATAATTGATGTCAAATGAGCCACACACACACACACACACACACACACACACACACACACACACACAC